ATTCAGCTGCTATCGATTCCCTGTTTAGGCTGCCCTTCCCGGGTCAGAATGGAGACCTGTCCCATTGTTCAGTGAATACAGTATTCTGTTCACTACATCAATTACCCTGACCCCAGGGGGGGCAAAAGCCTCCCTGCTCACCCATTTACAGTGACAGCTGTCATGCTAATGAATTCACATTGACATTATAATTAAACCATTACACAAAGTGAGGCCTCACTCTCAGCTGTACAGCAAACACACACAAGGCCACTTTGGAAAGGTTGCCTATTAGATATAGAGTATAATAAGACGAGGTATCCCTCAAGTTTTGGAAGATGAAAAAGGCAGGCAGAAGGTGCAGACTTAAAGAGGGATTAGGAAACAAGGACAACCTTTGAAGTGACTTTTAGTTCCCTTTTTAGAGTAGCTTTTGCTGAAGAGGTAGTTTCATGGCAGATGAGCTTCCTGACAAGTCTCTTTTTGGAGTACATCTTAGAGAAGGAGCATTGCAGGACAACAAGCAGCTCCACAGCAAGAACCAGAGGCACAAAAATCCCCAAACCCTCCACATTCACTTCACTTGAACTAGAGATCTTGCACATCACCAGTCCAAAGAAAAATAAACAACCCTAATAGACACCATTTATTTATGTATATTTATCTCAACTGGCCAAGAGGATCTGGGAGCAGCCAGGTACCAGATTTTCATTATGCTTAACAGAAGCCCTCTGCTCCACAGCAGCTCTGCACCCAAGTAATAACCCTCCCAGATCTCCTTTGCATCCATGCACCCTTTTCATGTTTGGCCACCACTGACCAATAGTTTCACCTTAGAAATTGCCGGGGGTTGGGGGGGGGGAGAGGGGATTGTGGTAGTAATGGATTGGATGGGTAGAGATAGCTTTATACTATTCAAAGAGCTGCTGCTCTTTTCAGACCTTAATGTAGGAGGCTGGAGAGCTACATAAAACCTTAACAGTGACTGAAATATTTTCTTCTAAGGAGGTACGAATTGCATGGTGCAACAGATGAGCAGCGTTCATCTCTACTTAGAGGTGCAATCTACAGAAGCAGTGTTATAAGCACCATGGCAGTAGGCAATTTGACAGTTTCAAGTTGGACAGTCTGGATTCAACAATACAAAAAGGCAATAAACCCGCATTTAGCTTATCAGAAGTCTCTCATTTGAGTCTGAGCACCAGAGGATTTAAAATAAATAACAAAATATTTTTGATTTTTTTTTTTTTTTGTTTTAATCTAGTGCATTCAAGTATAAGAATAAGTTCTGGGATGTTATTGCATGTTGCTATTTGGGAGAAAATCCTCACATATGAATACTGAAAAGCATTCAGCATAAGACTGTATCTCAGGCTTTCAACTTTGGTAAATTTAAGGATACAGATGACCTTCATCGGAAAGGATCACCTGAACTTACTTTGAGACCTTCGTGGTTGTCCTGAAGTGATTTCAGATCTATCAGAACAAAGAGGAATCAATGAATTTCTGGGACTATTTAGAGACCTCTGCATCTATACTGGAGATATTTAGCAGAATTCAGCCTTCACATAACCCAGCGATTCCAGACTTCATTTCTCTGTCCTGTTGCATCATTAAAAGCTGGATTATGGAGTTAAGCATGCACAAGCTGGGAGGTGCCAAAACCAAGGCTACCCTACAACTGCTGGATCAGCCCATGGGTGTATGTTACATCCCCTTTAGCTCTGTGCACATTCAGTACACAGGGTACATGGCCAGTCATGCAGCAGCCATCAGTAGAACATTACTATATTCTTATAAATCACAGGGAGAGCTGAGGAAGTGCACATTGGGAATATTGTGTAGCATCATGTAGTCTGCCACACAGATGATCAGAAGAGCTAAAAGTCTTAGATCCCCTATTATCAGATTAAGCCGCTCCAAAGGAAATATTTAGTACTGCAAGGGAATATAACCTGACAAAGTTATAGGCAACTGAGAATTGGACCTTGATCAACAATTTCAACAATGGGTTGCACTTCTGGTCCTACGTACAGTACTGCTGCTGCATGAAAAGAACAAGATCTTGGAGGTTTATTTTAAATCAGCACAGTTTGCTTGCCTTCCCTAAGGCTGTGCAAGTCTAGAGAAGCTGGAGACTACCTATAATGTATGTTGTGTTATTCTGTTTTCCTAAACTGTACTTTTAATGATGGATGGAAGGCTGAAGCAGCTGATAACAATGCTAAATGGTGAGAGACCAAATATGCACCAGTAGCTCAGCTTAAACTGTGTAGCTGGGATAGAGCTGGGCTTGTGCTGGGAAACAGATGAAGTGTCCTGAGAGTACGTCAGCCCTGGAGCCCTGGAAACAGCTTTCTTTTGCAAAACATCCTTCTCCTGGGGGATGGGGCAGAGGGGAGAAAAAGGGACTTAAAATCCATGGGCATTATGGCTTTTAACCGAGGATGCAAATAATGTATCAATAAACAAAGTGATGCAAAACGTATTAAAGGTACATGCAATCACACGACCCTACTCCTCAGTGGAAGGGGAAGCTGTACAGGTAGGGATGGCACCTGCTTCCACACTTTGTGCTACTTTGCTGTCCCCAGGACAGGTCCACCTATACGCTTTAGTAGGAATTTAGATCTTTTTAAAAGGACCTGACATTTTTACAAAGGGATCCTTCTCTTCCATACTCTGCATGCTGCACTTGGATGAAAGAAGGCTCTGGAGTCAAGTTAGGCCCAGCTTTACTCTTCTGAAATCAGTCTCGCTTTTCAGGGCCTCAATCAGGTGTCCCAAAGGCTCTTTTATAAAGACCTGTCTGCTGCAACCATTGCAGACTGGTGCAACAACATTACATCTCAGTGCTAACTCATAATTTCAATGTATACATTTCACTGTCCTTTCTACAGAAGCTGTGGTGTCTGTCCTCTGGTGGGACAATTTGCTAAAAGCACCCCAAATCTACAAGTATTGACAGACCAGAGCATTACTTCTTTCCCCATCAGAACCTTTTTGCATGTGGGTAAACTCCAAAATTTTTACCCATGTCAGTGTGGTGGAACACTGGCTAAAAAGAGTTTCCCTCTGCTTTAGTATATTTAGTAAATTGTGATGATAGGAGAAACATCATCAACCAACATAACACAAGAGTTTTGCTGTGAGATAGCTGATCCCAGCTGAAGCAAGTCAACTTGAGCTGAAAGACTAAGTTACATGGAGGAAAGAGTTAATAGGGCTTCAGGATAAGATACTCCAGCAAATAAATCCAAACATGAGTTTGTAAGCTTGCTTTTCGCTTCTTTAATATATTAAGAACTAACATTATTCAAACACAGCATTTACCAACTCAGCATGTTTACAAAACATCGGATACTTCTGAAATACAGCCACCCAATGATATTTGGATTTGGGGCATTCAGTCAAGACAGAGATAAAAAAGGGAGCAAAGAAGTCAGTATGCTGAAAAACCCATTTTTCCTCTATTCATCCATGCCAGTCCCAGTGACAAGAGCTGCTTTTCAGTGCCCCGTCCCTTTTTCCAGCTGGGTCCCAAAGATCCCCCCAGTGCAATCCCCACTGCCTGAAATTTTACAAGATCCCCACCGCTCTTCAATTACCTTCGTTGGCCTGTCAAGACTCCAGCATCTCAAATTCAGTTAGCTGGTGTTTGGACCTCCGCCAAGGGCCAGCCTTTGCTCCTAATGACAGCCAGCTGAGGGGACACTGAGAGGGGCTGAATTCAATTTGCAGGCCCTCTAATCTGATTAGGGGAGCAGGGTTTTTATTTTCTCCAAAGTTTGCAGTAGCCAGGATGAATGATGGCTAAAGGATGAGCTGTCAACATCAACAAAGGCTTGGAGACAAAGGGAAAAAAATGAGGGGGTATAACATATTTTATTTTAAGGAGAGAAATGAGCCTGCTCTGACTGACAGCATGGCGAGCTGTTGAGTGAATTGTTCAGGTGACAATGTTGTGTTTGCAGAGTGTCACTCTGTGTGGGCTGTGAAAGCAGGAATGGATCCAGCTACTGGGCAGATGTCAAGCAAATTCCAAAGACTGCTGTTCTTTTCTAAATAGAATATCACACTATTCTCCCATCCTTGTGTAAAATATGTAACGCTTCCTCCATTTTCTACTTCGTGATGCTCTATTACAAGTACTAAGCTGTAAAAAGCCCCTTATTATATAGCCACACACAGTCTTCATTTTTCGTTCTTGCACATCTGAGGGTTTTGCCTTACTGGGCTGACTTGAGCATCACTCAGCTAAAGGCAGTATCTCTTCACATTCAAGCACTCAAGCATACAAGTTTTATTTGCTTCACTTCATAATACAGTTATAACAAATTCTAGCACCACTTTCTCAATATAGTTTTCTTAATGCTTGAAAACTTGTGGTGCACTCAGTTAATCTGTAATGATATAATTTTTGCAGCATTGGAATATGAGCCTGGAGGAAGACAGTGGGGCTATGACCTTCTGCAGCCTCTGCTTTTCCTCTCACAACACCCAGCATGGCACATTCAACACAGCTATGGGCTCCCTTGCTAATTCTGCAGATGCTTATTTCTATTCAGGTTACCACTACCACAACTGCTTCACCCAAGAGCAGGAAGACAGGCAGGGCTCAGAGATGACCAAGCACACGCTGGTCATGTTCCAAGAGCTTATATGCCAGCCATAGGAAAAAGGGAGCCCAGCATCCTGTAGGTGAGCAACACCATAGTCTTGTGAAGGGGCACAAAGCAGTTGCGTCATTGCCTTAGCATCCAAAACTGGGAGATTGTCATTAAGTTATCTTAGAAACAGGTTTCAAAGACAGAAACAAGTAGAAAACCCAAGGAGTGCTTATGATGGTGAAGAGACTGTTGATGAAGCCAGAAAGAGGCAGAGAGAATTAAAACAAACATGATAATAATTCTCCTATTCTATAGGCAATACCTGGTGCATAGGCTGCCTTTCTAATGGGAGGCTCACTTTGCTAGCAGTTTTGACTCACTTGGCACCCTGAAGTATTTCTGGGCACTCACCTCAGGTAAGACTTCCCTCAGCTTTGTAAACTAGTGATGGAGAGCTGGTGCAGGGGTATCTCTCAGCACCTTGCAGAGCTCAGAGGTCTTCTGTGCTTGAGAGTTGAGGCTTAGCATTTGGGAAGCAGCTTGTTGTCTCATCAAGGATGTGCTTTCTGCCTCTGTCCATATTCAGAGCCTCTGCAAAAATAAGTTAATGTTCACAAATGCTCAGCTGGAACCTATTAGCTTGTCTGCAAAGATCTCTGATGGTCCCTTGCTCTAACCTCCCTCAGTTCTTGCATTCAAATGGATTAGGCTGTCTCCACAGAACATCCCAAGGCTAAAGGGCCAGGCAAAATGTTTCTTGTAATCATTCTTCCTGTAGTCTTTTCTCCTGTCTATCTGGGACCTCCATGGAGCCAGACAGGAGAGCTGACAGCAGGAACGCTGCCTACGCTGTGCCCTCCACTTCCCTTGTTAATGCTTTGGCAGAGAAGAATGAGAGCAGCCTGACAAAGGCACAGAGGGGTGAATAAGTAGGGAGAAGAAAGGAGAGGGGGAGATGAAGCTTAATAAGTGAGGAAAGTGCATAGGAAAAGAGATACAAGATAGGATTAGATGCGGATGCATAGGCAGGAAGGGCAGCAGTTAGGAGGAGCAATTTTGGAACAGGAGTAGTAAAGAAGCCACACTGGCCTGCCAGAACCTGGAGTCAGCACCCCAAATTATTGCCTTTCCTTCCCTATCAGAGGATGCCTGTGAACATCTTATTGCTCCTGGCAGTCTAATAGCAATAATACAGCTCTGACCTCCTACATCGTGAGCTACATCGTGAGCTCAGGAAGTGCAAGAACCATTGCACAGACTTATAGATCCCATTTCAGGCAAGAGAATCAGTGCAGTGGCACAGGATCACATTTTACTATTCTCAACATGCTTTGAATGTGATATGGGTAGGGAATTGCAATCTAAATGACATGTTGGTGAAAAGGAAAGGCTGCAAAACCAAATACCCTAATGTTAGAAAGTGGCAGAATTATTTATGCTTATGATAAATAACTGATGCTCCCTCAATCTGAAAAAGGCATAATGTTTTCAAGAAAGCAATATCCCCTATATGGAGAATATTACTATATAATGGCAAAAGATATAATCCCTTTCATGGCTTGCTGAGATCTTTTGAGTTCAGCTTCATGATAACCTGTGCAGTGAAACTGTCGCCTGTGCTTGTTCATTGTTTTGTATTTTTATTGAGAACAAACTGACCAGTAACAGATGCCCCCCCTTTGTATTGGCATCCATCCATTCAAAAAACATTACAAAACTACAGAACACTATCAGCCCATCAGTAATGTTACAAGTTAGATGCCGTTATTATAGAATATGGATATTCCATATTCTATAACTACCTTTGGAGATTAATAAGACCCCCAAAAGCCAAGCCAACTCCATCAGATAACGAATGCAGATGGAGAAAGCACTGAATATCCTAAAAAGCTGATAGATGACGAAACTTCAAAAGATGCTGCATATTCTTATTAGATCTCATTTGAGGTGATTAATGCAGTTACACCAGGGGAACATTTGGCCCATTATTCATAACATCCAGAAGATGAGGAATAACACACTTAATTGAAACCCTTGTCAAAATGAAAAATTAATTATCTTTCAAAGATTCTCTGTCAAACTGTCACTTTCTATTTGCCACGCAGGGGCAATATCAGCAAAATAGCTCTTCAAGTCCCTGCTACCAGCAAGTCTATTATATTATGTACAAGTAACGAATGCAGAAGAGGCCAAGTCAGGAATTATGCGATGAAGAATAATCAGAAAAAGTCTGCTCCAAACCCAAACCTGTTTCAGGAGAGTGTGGCAAAAGCATCAGGCATTTCAGTTTAAGCATGGATATCTTCTCAAGAGGCAGGAAGGGTCACCAAAGAACTACCGGAGGGTCCAACAGCCCCGGCACTCCCCCAGCTAGGGAAAATCTAGGCTCTGCTTTGAGTAAAAGCAAAGAAAATCTATGCTGAAAGGAAGGACCATGAGGTCATTGTCTGGTTTGGCTTCCTACTGCCTCTGCAAACAGTCCAGAGACCCTCCAGGGGAACAGAAACGAAGGAGGGTGACTTTCAGGTATCAAGATCTACTGAAGGATGGTACAATGATTTTGTGGCCATCCCTTTTCTCAACCAGCTGTAACAGCAGTTCAGGCAGGACTCACACCCCTCCAATTCCATGAGCCCTTTTCCACAGGGATAGACAAGGAAAACTAAACAGAGCACTTTGATAGCAGGCACAGATGACTCAAGACAATGGCCGTCTGCCCAGACCCAACCAGGAGTATTCATGCAGTTTCTAAGGCTTCCTCAAGCAAAGATCAACAGTTTCCAATCACCCAGGTATTTGCTTTCTCCCCTGCCAAGCACTAGCCCCAAGAGAAAGAGCAAAGTCCCAAGTGCCTGTTAAAGACCCCAGTCTACCAAACCTAGAGCATAGCAGAGAAAGACCCCTGGCTTTTTTCACTTGCGCCACATTATCACAGAAAGGTGGATTAGAAGTTATCTCAGCTCTGCTTTCTTTCAGAGCTCCTTGGCAACGCAGCCACCAAGATATAAATATGCACACACAAAAATCTGCAGCAGGCGTATGTGCATGCACACACACAAACCAATAGGCAAAAGTATTTCAAGGCACAGGGCAGATATGGCTGGGAAGGCAAAGGAGTTATGGAGATTCTGGGAAGAGGGGGAAAATAAGGGAGATTTTTCTACTGTCTTCCCAATATTTAGGGGTTTTTGAGGGTCAAAACCCAGTCACCTTGGAAAGTCAATAACTTCACAGCTGTATCTACCACCAGCAAGCTTCACACACATTGCAAGGGTCAGATACAGCTTCAGGCCTTCATTGTATAGAATACCATTTAGATGAAGAAGACCTAATTCTACAAATTTACAGAATTACAAAGGACCAGCAACAGTTTCAGGCCTACATTGTATAAAATGTAATTTAAAGGAAGATGACATAATTCTGACTGAAGTAAGGCTGACAAAGAACCAACTTAACCTGGGTACTCAATAGTACACTGATCAAAGGGCTCCAGGCAAGGGAGCTCCCCATCCTTGAAGGCAGCAGGCAAGTAGCACTTCATGAACTGTTTATTACTTTTATAGACCTCAGGTGGCAATTAGCACCTGCACCAAAGTCAGGGACATGGAGGATAACGCATTGGTATTACCATTTGTGATCACCATAGTAACAACACAGCAGAATAATAAACACTAGGTACACATAAAATATACCTTCAGTGTCCTGTGCAAGAGGGAGACCAACACACTGCTCTCACTCATTATGCTCATACCCCAAAATGGCAAATTAACCCACCATACCAAGTCCCTGTGCACAGCAAGTGACAGCCCTCACCTCACTATCTAGCTCCACAAAGTCCTGAAAGCTTTTCTTCACAAAGGCCAAGATGAAAGCCAGTCACCACAAGGTTCTTATACCCTTGCTTTCTTCCTTGTCAGCAGTGAGGGTCCTCCCTTTCCTTTTGGGTGGGAGTTTTCCTACAATGATGGATGTTGATGCACTCAGACACCTGAAGCAGATACTCTTTCTCCTTGGTCAGGTGGGACAGGGATATTTGGCATGGCATTTTAGTATCTTCTGGCTCACAGTTCTTGTCCTCAGACACAGGGGAATCTCTGCTTCCTAATGAGCAGCACCAGGCTGGGAGAGAGCAAGCATATCAAAAAAGCAGTGCTGGAAATGTCTTTCAGCTTGTACAAGCTCTCCCCTTGTAGTGGGTAAGGGGCTGTTCATCAGCTGCTCCTATAACTCTTTTCTTTATGTGTGTACAAACTGTTTACATATTGAATGTTGTGCAATAAGATGAAGAAGTATTTATTCTGAGATGTTTATATTAACCCTTCTGAAGCCAAGAGCACTTGTGCTAAGAGTACTTGGATCGCAAGAACTAACTGTGGTCCAGACCCTTCTGTGGCTCAGCTTTATTATTGCAAGCAGTATGTCTGAAGTCCACGTGGCTCCTGCTGTTATTGAGGAAAGCACAAATACAAGGCTTTGCAGTGGAACAACACAGTCCTGCAAGTGGAACACGTTCATCAAGAAACCCAGGCTCCAGGAAGGCAGAGAGAGGGAAAACCTCACTGATTCTGCTTTACTTACAGGGCTTTTTAGAAAGGAAAGAATCAAACAGAACCCAATTTGTCGTGAAGCAGAAGGACTCTTGGTTCATCACTTGGAAAAATGTACCAATCCCACTATTTCCCTGCTTTATGATTATGACTTTTTTCTTTCTGCAACTTTAGAAACCGTCATCACTTACATTCATTCCAAGTTTTGAAGCTAGTATTTGGATCCAGGTATCAATACTGAATGCAAATTTGGTAGAACAGAAGGTAATTCTTTGGGGAAAAAAAAAAAAGTGTTATAGTTTTCTCCTCAGTTCACTTCCTTTCCCTGCCTACGCAGCCATGCCAGGGTCATAAGTATCCACTTCTGGATGTTTTTTAGGCATCTTTCAGACTGTCATCCATTTCTTCTGAGATACCTCATGAAGTGTCATTTCTAAATGTTATTACTCTAACATGTCTCTTTCTGGTCCTGCTGGTCCCCCGGGTCTCAGTCAACATCTGGCTGGGTGACCTGCTCCGCAGTCCCTTATGGTTTGTTTTGTAGGAGCTGATATCCTTCACCATGAAAGAAGATCAGACTCTTCCCTTTACATGAGTCTTCATTAGTGAATTGCTGTATCACGGTCCTTTTATGTTTAATCTCCTCAATTAGTTCAAATAATGAATTTACTGCCAGGGAAGTTTACAAAAGCAGATCATTTTAAATAAATACTCATCACTAAGTAAGTAGTCACTAAGTGCACTCGAAACCTCCATGTGCTCACCCCAGGAGGCAAAGAGCCATGCAGGGGAGTGGCTGCAGACACTGCCACTATTTCTGCGCTAGACAAGGGAAAGGAGGGCTCCAAGCTTTGGGAAATCCCTGCTTTAGTCTCAGCTGCCTTTTGGTATCAGGCATTTGTAAAGAGCTATTAACAGTTCATTCCCAGGAGAGCTGCAGGTTAGATGTTACTTGTGTACATTACCTGTCACATTAAATCTCATCTTCCATAAAGCTCTCACAAAAAGCAGAATACATTTACACGATTGTAATAAAGGCAGAATGTTTTGGGTGAATGAGGTACTACCATTTTGCCTTAAACTAGCAATTACTGACAAAGTAGTGCATTTTATTTCTGTGTTTTGTACACAGCCCTTGGAGGTAAGGCATGTTCAATGGCATGCTTTTCTTACAAATCTGGCTTAAGTGACAATGAATTCTTTCAGAAAATATCTTTGTTCAGCTAAAGAGCTCATCTTCCAAAGCTCTGAAATTACTTGGTGCTTTGGAAGATGTTCATTCCACAGTATTGATGGCATGCTTGCCTTTCTGCAGGTTTTTGCTCCCATTATTTTCTTTTTATCTAAAAAACCAGATAATTACATAAATTTTTAACATAAGGTTTTAACAAAGAGACTGAAATTTCTGGTTTAAACAATCTCCTTTGGGCAGGGAAAGCATTTTCTTTTCAAGGCATTAGAATTAATACCTTGAGAATTCTTTCAAAAAAGTAACAGCAGAATAAAATGAAACAGGGAAAAAATAGTTTTCATACTTCTTTACTCTGAAACTGTTAGGCTAATGCTGGAAAACCATAAAAAGTTATAAGAAAGAAGAACTTTCCTGTCTAAATTGTCTTAATTTTCCTGTGGGTCTAGTTCTGGGTAGTGTTCTTTTAAGTCCATATTGTGATTTTGAATATTGAGAGTCTCCACTATTGTCCCAGTGGGTAGCTTTCAAGGTGTGGCAAGACCTCCCTTATCAGCATAGGAAGTTTGAATGTCTTCATATTTTGTAGACCTGGACCCACTTACAGGTTTTACATGTTCTTTTCAAATAGAACTCACTTTTTTCTAGATTTTTAGAAATGCATTTTAGATACAATATTCTATATTTATAGATTTAGAATTCTGTTTTTAGATATAATATTTTAGATATTATATATTTTAGCAATACATTTTAAATATCATGGTGCAACACAGAGGATTGGCTCTACAAAACACTCCACAGGAGAGGACACAGAGTCCCCCAGTACTTGGTGGGACATCTGGGTGCTTCAAAAGGGACACAGTGCTTATGTCCTGTGTCTAAAGTCAAGAAAGATGAGCATGGATTCAGAAGCAACCCAAAACCTATCTCAGTAATACCATGAATTTTAAGGATAGCCCTTAGCCTGTGGATTTACTTGATTTTCATTGAAATTCTAATGCCAAAAACATTAGGAAACCTACTTGCTGTCCCTTAAGCACTTCCCCCAGCCTTGGAGGAAAGGTCAAGGTTATTATCCATTGTAATCCATCATGAGGAATTTTCAGACATTCAGCAATGATGCTTTAGTAATTTTTTGTGCCACCTTAAGCTCTATGACCGCGTACTGTTTTCCAGGCAACGATAGCAGATAAACCCCTTAGTTCAAGTACATGCTACCTGGGTCAGGAAAGCCACATCCTCCTATAACATACATATATATATATATACATAAGTAAGAGAGAGGGGGCAAGACAATTTCTCAGCAGCTCTCAGAAGAAAGCTCTTTCATGATGAAATTTTTACTTAAGAAAAGCTCCTAAATCAATTGCTCCCAGGCAAGGGAAGGAGGAGGGAGAATGAGGAAGGCTGTATTCTCCCTGCTCAGCAGTTTCCCACTGCCCTCCTGTCCTCCCTCCCCTCCCAATCAGTAGGTTGTAGGCAGGGCCTGGGGTCAAAACAAAGAGCTGACCCCATGGCAGGGCACCTTGGGGTGCTAGAGTGGGCAGTGAGGACCTCGGCTGGTGATGCTGAAACATGTAGCTCTGGTCCCTTTCCACCATGTTTCCTTCCAGCAGGGCAAGAGCAGGGCTCCCATATCAGTTTAGCATACCAGAGACTTAGAGGGGCTTACCAGGCTGCTCTGTTTAGGGGATAAAAGATGGGAGCTTGGCAGGAATAAACATGTCACTGGGGGAGCCTGCTCCATGGGGCCTGATTTCCCTCTCGTGTCGACTTGCTGCTGGCGCAGCTCCCCAGATGCCGCAGCACTAATCCTGATTTATGCTGAGTTTTGGTGGGCACAGGACCAACCAGAGTAGCATACAGGCATGCTGCTTCCCCTCACCTGGGCACACACTGGTGCTCAGGAGGAGGGAAAACTTGTTTAGTAATTAAAGTGATTTTCTAGCTTTTTGGGTGGGTGCACATGGCTTCGTGTGAGTTTGCATCATTCAACGCTGATGGGACTCAGTGCATGTGCCAGGGAGCCTAGTGATCCCAGTGCTCAAAGCGATCAGGAACAGGAGGGATAAGCTCTGCTCTGCTGCTTCCCCTGAAGTTAGGTTAGCAAAATCAGCTGTGATTTTGAAGCACCCCTGCCTAGAAGTGTCTACAGGTCATGCTTCTCAATGCCCTCACTTTCTGCCAGGGAGGCAGCATAGAGTGGCTGCACCATCCCTGAGATGCATGTTGTCTTCTAAAGCCAGTAGAGGACTGCTCACATACCTTCCTGACGGGAGCACTGGGATAAGGAGGTCATTTATTTATGGCAGCTCTGAGATGCTTGTAGGAGAGATAACAGAGCATCGAGCTGGCCCTCAGCAATAGGTTTGCTTTCAAATCTCCAGCTCTCGATTTACAAATGCAAGGCTGGCACCAGTGTTTCCATGTTGTTTTGCGCACAGCACTTAGATCTTTGGTCTTTCCCTAAGAGTAGGGGGAAAAGATTCCCAAGTTTACAAAGGGTCCTTGTGAGCTTTCCAAAGATGTCTGCTCAACAGCACTAGCGCTCCTTCACCACCGGCCCTGGGCAGCCAGGCACACCTAGACAACGATTCATCCCACTGCCGCCATTGCACAATGCACAGAGTATTGTCTCCCCCAGATCTTGATGGAAGTCCACCAAAGGCAAATCCCTCCTGGAGGTATTTTTGGGGGGAAGTTATTGCTCACCCCCCTTCCCCACCTCTTCCCTCTGATCGGTTGTGGCAGTTTGAGCTGAGAAACCACAAGGTCCCTCGCAGATGTTTGGTAACACATCAACGGCCCGGCCCAGCACAATGTAATGCAATTCCCCCCCAATCTCCCTCAGACATTACCTAATTGATAAAGGGGCCGCCCCGCGCCGTAGCAGCTCCCTCCCCAGCTCGTGCGACACAGCAGGGCTCTGTTCCCTTTTGCCATGACATCATGCCGGCGCTTGCCACCCATGCATCATGCTGCCTGTGAGCTTCCTCTTCCACCCCAGATAAACACGGCCGAGACAAACCCCCTCAGCAACACAAGAAAAGAGCTAAAAAAAGGATTACAAAACCCCACAACTTTCTGCAGCTCCTGCCCCAGACCCTCATTCCTGCCTGGGTTGTGGTGAGAGCTGCTGAATGGGGTTTGGATGTGGAGCCCGTCTGCAGTGGCCTCCAGCTTTCCACTGTTTGCTGGCAAAATCCAGAGAGGGAAAAGGCTCAGAAGTGCAAAGTTTCTGCTATAACTGCCAGACACAAATACCAAAGTTACTCTTGCTTATACAAGTGTGCATGCATCGGTGGAGTTTCCACGGGGTCAAGTATGAGACCAAA